TATAATTAGCACACTTCTCTATAATCACGCTTTTTTGTATCCCGTGGGTGTGACTATAGAGAGGTTTGACTGTATAAGAGTCATAATAAGATTATAGAATTTGCTTTCTTTTTATGTACGTACAGTACATATTTTGAATTACCGTAATTTACACGTAATAAATCGCATATTCGATGTATAGTAATAGATAGTTACACTTAATATCTTTTATGAAGGTTCGACAATGGAAGGCAGCTGCATTGAGTCGAAAATTACAGAAATATTATTCAGTTGATCTCGTATCGACGTTAACGATTATTAATTATTATGTATATCAGTGAAGAGTTGAATGCAAGACGCCTTAAAGATTGAAGAATGTAACTTCCCCGCAACACCGTTACAAATTATAAACATATATTTGTGAAACGTTTTATATTAATTTCTTTTTGTATAACGATGATGTTTTCCTCGATCATTTAAGTATATGCTCAATGACATGTATGATTATCCTTATTGAGATAATAGATACGATCGAAAACATATATAACAGATAATCAATATTCAAAATTATGACTCAGTATTTATCTCAAATTTCATTCATGGCTTCGAAAAATCTACACATTTATTTTCTAACAATAATCATTCTTTTATCCTTTAACTTGGTCAATGCCCAAGATGAAGAAACTAATTCTCAAAGGAATCCAAGTGATAGCAAAATTGAGGCAATTTTTGACTTGATGGGCATCTTATTAATTTTACTTAGCATAGATGCCGTACATGCCTCTAATTCAAGGACTGCAAAGTTAACTTATTTCTCATTGCGAATGCTTAGTTATTTCTTTCAATCACTTATATTAGCTTTATCAATTTTTTTCACTTACCGTATTTATAATGATACTAGAAATTTCTTTTATATTCAATATCTTATTACTTCATTAGCGTTCACTACTGCAAATTTACTCTTGGATCTCATTAATAGGCGTGAGCCTGATATTTTATCTTCCAGTGAATTTGTTGTACATATTACTTTTTTTATTATAGCTGTTATACGCGGTTATATCAACAACTCGCGTTATTTATTTATTCTTATACCTTCATTATTTGGTATATTTTTTCCAATTTTTGCTTATGTGGTGGTAATTCTTCAAGGTATTATGATTTTGCTTTCATTTTTATTAATTTGGTGAATAAGTATTAAATATTCTTAAAAAATTTATCCTATCATTTTGAAGGAAAATATAAAGGTAAAAAAAATATATAATATATTTAGTTTGTGAGCTTTAATTATGATATTGCTAACCCAATCTATTTATTCATCATTATATAGATGGTAAATTTTATTTACTTTTTGGAAAAGATTTAAATGAATAGTTTTTATTATTCTTAGCCAATTTTTATTTACTAATAATATTATATTGTTTAAATTTAACATATAATAAAGAGGAAATTGCTGCTCGTTCTCGTACTCAGTCACTTATTAGTGTAGACCAAAAAGAAGGTAATAAAATAGCCTATTTATTTTTTGTATAATTACTAAAATATTTAATTTGTCAAATAGAAACTATTACATGCGCTGGAAAGTTAGTTTCAGTTATTTTAGCCTTTATATTTGGTGAATTAATGAATCATGGTATATTAGAAGGTAATGTAATTTTTTATTATATATATATTGTATAATCTAGAATAAAATGATATCAATATCTTAAAATATTTATTTTTGCTTAATAGATGAATATAATTTTGCAGTCATGTCCGCTATAAAAGAGAAATTGAAATTGGCTTCAATATGTTCACAATTTATTTTTTGTCTAATTGTAAGTCCTGATGCCCTATGGATTAAAGCTTATCTTACATCACTAGTTATATATGCTTCGGTAGACGTTAAAATCAGAGAACTCAGAGAGGAAAAGAGAAAGAATAAACATAAAATTCATGAACTTCCTGTGGATAATGAGAAGCATACCGTGGCAGTAACAGCTATAGTTTAAATCTTGTGTGCTCATAACATTTGTTTAAACCATGGAACATCAAAAATGGATTGACTGTTTTCTATTTATTGATTTCAGCTAGTAACCAAAAAAAAGGTCACGAAAACAAAAACAATATAATACTAGTGAGAAAAAAAAGGACAAAATATGTACATTAATAGTTATAATATCTCCTTTATTAGTCAAATATACTGAACCATGTATCTATATTCAATATTTCATTTTCATGTACTTTATATGTTTAATAATGTTTAATAATCACGTCATCAATAGCCATTATATTATTTCATATCCCATAATTTTATAACAGCAATAATAAAAAGGTTATTTCATGATTCTTCTTTTTTAAATTAATTTAAAGACAAATGATAATACTGTATTTTAAAATTTCTTCACCGTTTCACCGGCAATCATTTTCTCGACGTAACAATTTGCTGACAATCCATTCAGTGTGATTAACCAAAATCGCACTAAATCGTATAAGTTACATCATTATATTATATCAATGCCACATGCATTCATTTTATATTCTCAATAGAAGTGTTATTCGGCCTGTTTATTTGACTATTATAAAATCAGATTAGTAATATAATGATAACATAATACGTACAGTATATTAAAGTGCAAGTAAATTATTAATAGCATGTTAAAATGTGTGCAAATTAAGTAGTATTTTTAGTGGTATGTTAAAGTATAAAAATGTTACATCGATGTTACACGACTGATTCTTCACCCGGTGTGCAACACAAAAAAATTATTTTACAATATCAGATCATCCCGCCAGTACATGTTGTTATTATAATCCCACACCATTTTTATTATAATAAAATAGTGTTGTATTATAATCACAACATGTATTAGCGAAATGATCAGGTATTGTAAAATAATTTTTTTATATGTTGCACACTTATACATGTTGGCAAAACCTATGGAATTTGGGATTTGACCATGGACAAACCTGGACAAATGGGTAGTCCATCTATATTTAAAAATCCCATATAATAAAACTGGACAAATCCCAATTCCAAATCCCAAATCCCATCCCAAATCCCAACTCTAAAACCAAATCCCATCCCAAATCCTAAACTAATATTTATTTATTGTCCAACTTAGTACAGCTAACAAATTTGCAAATCTATTTTTGCAAATTTTAATACCGTATGTAGTGATTGGACCCGGATAGGTGCCACACGGGTGGAAGTGAGTGGGTCACCCAACGGGTGATCCGTGAACAATAATTGCAACTTTAATCCAAATATGCACTTGTATGTATATTAATTGCCTTTTTTTCTTAAAAAAAAAACTTTCAAAATGGGTTTTATATTAGACTAGACACTCATTCAATGAAGTAGAGGTAAAATTTTAAATGTTACCATTTTGTTAAAATTTCTAACTGATCCAAATAAAATTACTATTTTATTTTAAATTCTGGAATAACTGAAAAAATTGCCAATAACTAAATTGATAAGTACTGAGTCAGAATTAATAAGTAACTGACTTCTGAAGCTTATTGATTTGGTCATTAGCAATTTTTTCAGTTGTTTCAGAATTTATAAAAACAGCTATAATGCTCTATTTTTACCCAGGTGACTTATAAATCTTCCCAAAGAGTTGCTTTTTTAACCCACTTGAATTCTACCCAGGTGGCTTATAGGTCCACCCACAGGTGACCTAAGTGGTATTTTTTTTGACAGGTCTAATTACTAACCATATATAAATATATTTCTCATAGGGAGATATATAAATGATTGGTTAATTTTGATAAATCTACTTGTGATTACTATGATAATTAATCAATCAAAATACATAATTAACCCAGAGCATAGTGGAGGGTCTATTACTTTTTATACATAATAATACTAAAATTATTTTTTTGATGCATTTTGACCAAAATCAGTAACTTTTTTAACATGTCTCTTTTTAAATTTCCTGAAAGCTCTTAGATATATAATAAAGATCAACTAAGCCTGTATAAACTATATAAAGACCATAACAAAAACATAATTTAAAAATTTTTTATCTGTCTGTATATATGTTCAAATTTGTTTAGTATAACAAAAAATATATATTCACATATTTGTATCATTATAAAATATACACAGAGTCTAATAATACTATATATTTTCCTAGTTTATTAATATTACAATACTAGAAAACAAAACTAAACTTCAAATAAAGAAGTTTACAAACTAATAAATACTTACAAAAAAATGAATTGCTTTTATCAAAAGAATAGATAAATATATATAAAATAGATAAATATAATAATAAAACTAAACTCATTACATACAAGATATAAACTACACTATTAATACATAGTTGACAAGCCCAAATATACAAAAACTAGTTAAATTTAAATATTAAGCCCAGATTTTCTATTACTAAGAGCTTGTATCTATTCAAATTAAATAGTTAAAGATAAAAGTTTATCTAAATCTAATATAGTAAAATAGCTTTAGACTAAAATATTTTTAGTTATTTTTATTTTATAATATAATCTAATAAATAGTAAATACATTTTGTCTTCTAAATAAAGTTCTTGAAGTTACTAATTATTTTTAATTATTTTTGTAAAAAATAGCTTTTGTATAGTAATTTTTTATTAGTAAAATATTATATTTTTAAAAAGTATATTAGAGTGCATAAATAAGTTACTTAGACAGTTGATTTATATTAGCTAATAAATAAATATCTTTTTATAAACAAGATTCCAAGTAATAAATATACTAGAGTTCCACACAAATATAAAGTCAAAATATATACTAATTGTGCTAATGCAATTAGTATGATCTAGAAAGTTCAATTTGGCCAGAAGAGACCCAAAGCATCCAAGCTTAAAAATGACAGTATACTAGCAATTATCACAAATATAATGCTGAAAAAGAAGCTAGAGATGAAATTGATTAAAGTTAAAAGTTATAGCAATGTATACTTTAATGAGCAAGTGGACAAGTTAGCAAAAGAGAGTGCTAAGCTTGATGAAATCTTGGAATTAAAAATAGAATAGTCAAAAATTCTAAAAGTAATACTCAGATAGAAACAATATATAATAGATATACTAGTATGAGAAATAGTAGATAGCATTATAAATATGTATTATAGTATAGAATGATTACAAACAAGTAGTATAGAATATATAGAGAGTAGACAAGTAACCAATGCAGGAATAGATTGGAAAGAAGTCTGGAATAATATAAGAAAAACACAGAACACTACTGCAAAAGTATGAAAAATAGTAAAGAATTGGTATTTGATACAAAGAGTTTAAATAAACTATTGCCAACTCTGAGTATTTTAAATTGTAGAAAACCAGACTTGTATTTAAGCAATATATATATAGCCTATTGTAAAAAAAAAAAAGAATACAAGTTATCTAGCCCAATGTGATATCTACAAAGATTTTTGAAAAAAAATAGAGAAGAAGGCTACAAAGTTAGTAATAGAAAAATAACAAGCAGCAGATAAAATATTAAAGAGAAAAAATATATTCTTAAGAAGTGAGATAGAAATACTGATTAGGCATATGGCTATACAAAAAAGAACTAACAGATTAAATTATATAAGAGAACTTTTTTATAAGCAGGCTGGAATAAGTAAAAAAGAAGAAAGCCTTGAAAATAGTACTTACACATCTTAAAAAAAGACTTTAAAGAGATAATTTAGGCATTTAGATGTGAAGTCATTAATAAGTAAGAAAAAGAAAATGGAATTCTAATGAAGGAAAAAAGAAAAAAGAAGAAAAAAAGTAAGTTTAGTAGCAAAAAGAAACAAAAAAAGCTGGTAAGAACAAGTTAATCAGATCAGAAGAATAAAGAAGACAAGATATGAAAAAAAGTAAAAAAGCATATACAAAATCTAGTACAGTATAGCATCAAACTAGCTTAGTCAGGTCTATATAGACCATGTATTTGAAAACTTATATAAGCAATCCTGATAAGGCTAGCAACTGCTATTTACAGATCCAGAAAATTACTTTCAGGAAGTTGGGAGCCAAAGAGAAGGAGAATAGTTGCTGTGGCAGATTGTATCTGGGCATCTCAAAGCAGCCAGGTGAGCTTTTATTGCAGAAAAAGAAAGGTTGAGAGCAATAGTTTTAATTCTTTGTATAATAGTATACATATTTTTTATTCAATAAAGGCAGGATTGCCAAAAAAAATAGATATACTAGAGTTAAAACAATATATAATAAATTTTAGTTATTCAAAATATTAATTTTAATCTATTTAAATTAAAATTAATATTATATGGGCTGCCATCAATAGAAATAAGGCAGATCTACATTTGAAAAAAAATTAATACCTTAACTTTCACAGCTCATACATCGATGAATTT